GATACCTATTCTGTGATGTACGAGAGGCTGCCCTTTCACTGCTTCTCGTGTGGGATTTTGGGTCACTCTTCGGTCCTATGCCCAAACCCGGGCCTGGGAGACGAGAATGGAGATTTACCATATGCTGCGGAGAAGCTCTGCATACCATATGAGGGGCACAGAAAGTCTGCTGGTTCGAGATCTTCGTCTGCCTCTTCCACTGTCGGGACGGCGGACAAATCGAGCGGCTCCCGCTCGGCCTTTTCAGGACGTGCTGCGCCGGGGGTGGCCCGGGCCTCTGATGCAGTGGATGATGAAGTCTCCTCTCCTCACAAACATACTGGACGGGGCCGTGGTCGGGCTCCCTCCTCCCGTGGGCGAGGGAGGGGGAGGTCAAGTGCCACTGGCAGGGAGCTGTTCTCGGGTGGTCAAGAGAAGAATGGATCTTCGGGGCAGAAGAGGAAATCATCTAAATCACTCCCAGCGGCTTCGGCCCAAGATCATGTTCCAGCTGATCCCAACGCCCTTGCTCTGGTCCTGTCTACAGATCATATACCTGCCGTTTCTGATGTGGAGCAGGTGACTGACAAGGAGTCCAATAAGAAACACCGTACATCAGACCCTCGATCGGCGGATCCGGTGGAGGTTGCGAGGCAGCCCTGCCAAACGCAGTGAGTATCATCTGCTGGAACTGTCTAGATCTGGGGTCGGACTCAACAGTTGGCGAGCTTCGCTGGCTTGTGAAGCTCTACCGACCCTCCCTCATCTTTCTTTCGGAGACAAAGATGAGGGATTCGAGAGTCAAAAACTTTATGTGGTCTCTGGGTTATTTTGGTTGTTTTGCTGTTAGCAGCGAGGGTCTCAGTGGGGGCCTGGCTCTTTTCTGGTCACATTCGGCAGCGGTGACAGTCAGGCTGCAAATAAGCGATGCATTGATGTTGTGGTCCAACTGAAGGAAGGGGTGCCATGGAGGGCTTCTTTTGTGTACGGAGAACCAAAGCGAGAGCACCAGTTTCACTTTTGGGAGCTCCTTTGACGAATGCAACCTTCCTGGTCGGGTCCTTGGATCTGTTGTGGTGATTTCAACGAAGTCCTTCTTCAGGAGGAACATTGTGGTCCTCGGGACCGGCTGGATTCGCAAATGGCTGCTTTTCGGGAGTGTCTGCTGGACTGTGGCTTATCTGATTGGGGTATTCGGGCCCGAAGTTTACATGGTGCAACAAGCAAGATCCCAATAGCAATGTTTGATGTCGTCTTGACCGTGTTGTGGCTAATGCTGCGTTCAACAGCCTCTTTTGTGATTGCAGCGTGGAGAATGTCATTGCTACCACGTCCGATCATTACCCCATCCGTATTTCTCTGGATATTCTGTCCCAGCAGCGCCATTCGACTCCGGTACAACACGGTTTCAGGTTCGAAGCTATATGGCTGCGGGCATCTGACTATAAAGAAACTCTCGAACATGCGTGGTCCACTGGAAGGGCTGGGCTTTCTTCTCTGAGTTCTACTTGGGAAAACTTGAAAAGTGTGGCATCCTCTCTTCGTACATGGAGCAGGGAGTCTTTTGGCTCCATTCGCAAGCATATTGGGAAGATGGAACGCCGTCTGGCGTCTATCAGGTCCTCTCCGCCTTCCCCAGCTTCCTTATCTAAAGAGCGACATATCGAGGCTCAACTCTGTGAGCTGTTTGAACGGGAGGAAACCATGGAAAGGCAGCGTTCGCGGGTGGATTGGCTCAAATCAGGTGATCGTAATACAGAGTTCTTCCAGGCCAGAGCGTCGGCTAGGCGAAGGACTAACAGGATCCATTCGCTCCTTCGGGAGGATGGTTCGGCTTGTACCTCTCAAGGGCAGATCAAGGGCATGGTTCAATCCTTCTATGAAGATCTCTTCACGTCTGAACCCCAACCGTCTGCGGATGAGGTGGTGCGGGCTATCCCAGGCAAGGTAACTAGAGAGATGAATTCGGACCCGTGCAGGCCCTACTCAGACGACGAGATTAAGTCGGCGCTGTTTCAGATGGGTCCTACCAAGGCTCCCAGACCGGACGGTTTCCCTGCCCTCTTTTATCAGACTCATTGGGAGTTCTTGGGGGAGGACATCTGTCAGGAGGTTCAGGGTTTCTTGGAGGGGAGGCCGATTCCAGAGGGTTTTTGTGATTCCATCATTGTTTTGATTCCAAAGACTGTCAAGCCCAAACACTTGAACTTCCGTCCCATCAGCCTCTGTAATGTGCTCTACAAAATTGCTTCCAAAGTCTTAGCTAACAGACTGAAGGCCATTCTGCCTGTGGTGGTGTCTGAGACTCAAAGTGCCTTCGTCCCCGGCAGGTTGATCACGGACAATGCATTGATTGCCTATGAATGCCTTCACACAATCAGGAAGCAATGCGTGAAGAAACCTTTCTTTGCTCTCAAGATTGACATGATGAAGGCCTATGATCGTGTGGAGTGGAGTTATCTCCATTAATGCTTGACTAAGCTGGGCTTTGCCTCTGCCTGGATTGACACTGTGATGCGTTGTGTGACTAATGTCCGGTATGCTGTCAGAGTCAACGGGGAGCTTACGCAACCGGTGGTTTCATCACGGGGCATTATGCAAGGTGACCTGATCAGCCCTTATCTCTTTCTCTTATGCACCGAAGGTCTATCTAGTCTGCTATTCCAAAAGGAGGCTTGTGGCGAGCTACATGGGATTCAAAACGGCCGTCATGGCCCGTCTATCTCACACCTCCTATTCGCGGATGATAGCATTTTCTTTGTTAAGAGTGATCCTCAGAGTGTGGCATCCTTGGAAGCAACACTCGGTTCTTATTGTGTGTGTTCGGGGCAGGCAATCAATCGTGACAAATCGGCTGTTTTCTTTGGCAACCATTGTCCAACGGAAGTCAATGACAGAGTGAAAAACCAGCTGGGCATAAGGAATGAGAATTTTAATGGCTCTTATTTGGGTATGCCTACGGAGATGGGCAACTCTCCTACGAATACGTTCAAGTTCCTGACTGATAAAGCATGGCAGAATATTTTTGGTTGGGCGGACCGGCCTCTATCTAGAGCAGGGACTGAGACATTGCTGAAATCGAAGACTCAAACAATCCCCACCTTTATTTCGAGCTGTTTCCGCCTACCGGTAGCAATATGTGAAAAGTTCAAGCAAATCGTGTATGATCAATGGTGGGGTCGTGAGGATGGAAAGAAGAAGATGCACTAGCACTCGTGGGACTGGCTTTCCACTCCAAAAGCTCTCGGTGGCATGGGGTTCAGGGATCTGGCGCTCTTTAACCAGGCGATGCTTGGTAAACAGGGCTGGCGCCTCCTGACTGAGCCCAAATCGCTTTGCGCGCAGGTTCTAAAGGGAAGGTATTTTCCTTTCACTGACTTTTGGAATGCTTCGGCTCCCCGCGCGGCATTAGCCACTTGGCGTGCCTCATGGCCGAGATCTTCTGAAGCAGGGGGTGCAATGGGGCCTTGGTGATGGCAGGCGCACACATATTCTGTCCGATCATTGGATCCCTTCCACTCCTCCGGCCTTGTTGCAGCCTTTGACCCCGATTCCAGCTTCAGCTACGGTTCATTGCTTGTTTGATGAGGAAAATGATTGCTGGAACGAGGATACGGTGAGAGCTTTTTCCCTCATGAGGTTGCTAATGATATTCTCAAGGTTCACATCAACTGGGAGGGTGGTCCAGACTATGCTCGGTGGCCTTTTACCAAGTTTGGAGAATACATTGTCCGGTTGACCTATAACATGGCCAGGACACGCCGTTTCCTGTCTGATCGCAATGCTCGGGGCGGGGGTCAATCCTCGAATTGGGCTCTTGAGGACAGACTGTGGAAGAAATTATGGAAGGTGCAAGCTCCAAATAAAATGAAGATTGTGCTGTGGAGGCTCGCTCATGACTGTTTACCTTCGGGGTGCTCAAATGCTGCGCCGTCAGATCCCGACGAGGACAGACTGTTTTTTCTGTGGGCGTTCGGAGAGTATTGAGCATGCTCTTCTCTTCTGTGTCCACGCTCGGGCTGTTTGGGATGAGATCAAGGCTACTTATGGGATCAGACTGTTCCGTTCATCTTTCAGCTCTCACAAACAGTGGTTGTTCGACTTGCTCGCGCGAGACTCCCATCGTGACATCTCCACCATCACGGTGGCGTTGTGGCATATATGGGAGGCAAGGAACTATGCCCGCAATGAGCCGACTGCTCCTGATCCGAAACGCACAGCAGCTAAGGCGCAGGCTTACTCGGAGATGATTTTCCAGCACCTTTTCAAACCTGGGCGTGCGGCTCCGAGAGCGACACCGGCTTCTTCTTCTTCTGAGTGGTCTCCTCCCCCGCATGGTACTCTTCTTTTTTCTTCTGATGCGGCTGTGGACTTGGAGCGGGGCTCGTCGTCAGTTGGAGTTGTGGTGCAGGACCACTCTGGCCAGTGTGTGGCCGCGTCATCTGAACCCCTTCCTGGTGTCTCTTCCCCGGAGTTGGCTGAAGCGCTGGCCCTGCGACGGGCCGCTCCGCTGGCCCGCCGGAAGGGTTTCTCGCATGTGATCTTCCACTCTGACTATCTTTCGGTGATCCGAAGGCTGCAATCATCAGTCCGAGACCGTTCCATGGTGGGATCAGTTATCTCTAATATCAAGGCGATTTGTGGAGCTCTGTCGTTTGTGTCCTTCATGCATGTTCGTCGGCACCGTGTTGTCTTACCTCATGTTCTTGTTAGGTCTAGTTTGAGCTCTTTGAGCCTTTGTTTTTATCACTTTGTTCCGAATTGCATTCGGGAGACTCTCTGTAATACGTTTGCTTGATTAATAAAGGCCGATGTTTTTTCTTAAAAAAAGACTAGTAACATTAGTCTAAGTTACTCCGTGCTATGACCAGCCTTAAGGTGACTGCGACGGTCAAGTTAACCACACGACACCACTCGGGCGAAGGCACGCTGCAAGTCCTCGTCGCCGTCCTCCGGTTTTGTATATACACAAATCCACCTCCATCCATCTCCTCGAGACCTACGAATCGCTGATCCCGACCATGGACGCCAACTGGCGGCCCACCCAAGGGTCGGACCCCGCCGCGGCGGCCGCCGGCGTTGACCCGAACGCCCTGCCCGCCGCCGGAGGTGATTGGCGCGCCCAGCTCCAGCCCGAGGCGCGCAGCAGGATCGTCAATAAGATGTAGTGACTCCTCTAATTGATTTGATTTACTTTCCTCTCCCTCTCCCTATAATTGATTTGGTTTGATTCGATCCTTCCTCCGCCTTTCGTTTCAGTAGAAACAAAGAGGAATTTCCTGCGTGTGTTTTCGGGTCAGTTTTGTCATCGATCCATCTGATAGCTTTGATCTAGCCATATCCATAGCGGCACCAACAGATTCGTCGTCGATCTACACACAAGCTCCCAATTTCTGCGCCGTCAAATTCCCCGCTGTGGGAATTCACTAATCAACTTGTACTACGCCTGCTTTGAATCCATCGTATTTACTTCATTAACTAGAATTATATCTCAACAATTACACACGTTTATTCACCAAGAAGTGCTAATTTGTCATGCTACCGAGTATCACAACGTTTGATTATCTAGGGTAAACCATTCTATTACTACTACTGCTCCGGGATGCAATTTTGTTCTGTTCTGAAACTAGAGTTTCTCGTATCCTTTCCCAAGGATAATATGCACATGATCACAAGTCATGACTAAATCAACCCCGAAATTACGCCTTGCTTATAGGAATATGATTGAGAATTGGAGATCTACCTTGCCTGCTCTGCCTACTCGTTCCACTTTGATGCAACACATTTTATCTACACAACACTTTAAAAGCAATGCATCCCCCAAATTTATTCACATTTTTACATCATGTCTGCAGAATGGAAACTCTCAAGAAGCATCTGCCAGTATCTGTGCCAGAGGGACTGAACGAACTTCAAAAAATCGCTGTGCGATTCGAAGAGAAGATCTATACTGCAGCAACCAATCAGGTAATTCAACCTATCTTAACAACTTCTCGGAGCAGAGCACGCATTAGTTATGGGTTTTTTCTTTTAGTAGTCAATAATAGTAGAGCAGACCTGTCCCCAATTGGTGTAATTTTTGTTTACATCATGTCTGAGTGCCTTTAGCAGCCCCCCAGTGAGACCTTGTGTGGCTTTTTAGCTTCCTGATTTTTCTCATGCTTGGGAATAAGTCCATTATTTCTGTGCTGCCGGGACTTGAATTGGGGCCATGGGTGTGTCAAGGTCCACACTCAAACCATCTGGAGCACATCCCAGTTATTTTAGCATTTTCACACTTGTATGTATACGCAATGTAAGTTAATAAGCTACTATGTTTTGAATGCTAGTTACATAATGATAGACAAAACGCTGATCATGATCTTATCACCGATCACATGTTGAATCTTGTAGTATTGTGTACCTTGAGTGTCTTCAGTTAGTTACTCTTCCAATCCATGTTTCTAGTCTACTAGCGGTTGGGGCGCGCCCATGGCGCACCGCCTGAGAGAAAGCTGGGCGCTGCCAGGTTGAGTGCCCCCCTTCCACGTTATTGCATGGTTCTGACTTGAAAACTAACATGAGTACACAACAGTGGAAACAGGAGATAAGAGATCAGCCTTAGGAGTCATAGATATTATTGATATGTCCTTATAGTTTACATCACCGACGACACAAATGACAGTGGTTTAAAGGCAATGCACGCGGCACAAAAGCGGAGGCACAATCAATCAACTTCATGGGAGCCAACGTTCAGCTGATCTTCGGCGTCCGGACCACCAGCTGCTCCCTCATCTCTCTCCTGCATGAGGGCCTCTATCTGGGCAGACCTCATGCTATCTTAGGTCTTGGCGAGGAGAAACAGCAGGCTTAGCCCCATGCTGACCGCTTCCGTGAACGATGCGCTGCTGCTCGCTGCTTTCCATCCTGCTGCACGTACTCAGCAATGCAATAACAGACAATCTTTCTCAAAGATTAAGCGAACAGAGGCTAGTTGTAATGAGAATTATGAAACTGAAACCACCAATGAGCACACATACCTGAGTCCGTTGACGTGGCCTCGGTCTTGTTGGTGGTGACATCCTCCTGTCAGCTGCCGCCTTTCTTGCCGAGCTCGTCATAGAATGAGATGTCAATAATTAAGATGCACTCCAATTTCCTCATCGCTGTAGTGATGACAAGAGAAAGTAGTCTGAGAACCATTCCAATGCTGCTCGAGAAGCATAACTAAAGTACTAAACATGTCATACAGAAAAGCAAAGCTTCGAAAGAACTGCAGTCCCACCTGAGAAACAAGCAGATCTGCTATAGTAGAGAGGGGCACGAGGACGTCGTCGAGGCCGAGAAGCTCAGCATCTTCTCCTGTCCATACCAGGGGCTGCCGCCGCCGCCTTGTATGGTGCCTAGTATGTTGAGAGAAGCATGAAGCTTATTTCTGCCGCATAGCTCAAACCGAATAATAATGAATCTATATAGCTGCCATGCTCTTCAGAATTTAATTACTCATTGTTAAATTAATGTCAAAATCAAACAAGGAGAAAATCATCGACAAACCAGCAGTATATTCTTCTAAGTACCAGACCGTGCATAAATCTTAATGCAGAGCAAAATACTAAAATATTAATACAAAATGATCAAGGAAATGCTGAACATAAGTGAAAAAGATACAAGTTTACCACCAAGCACAAAGGTGTACCTTCATAGATAGCTGGTTTGTCAACATGAGAAGAGACACGGTGATAAACAACATTTGCTCCTCTAGTGGACTTGCTATGCTCAGTGTGGATCTTGTACTCAACATAGAATCCAGTATGACCTATTATAAAACAAAGAATTCATTTTTAACATCAGTATGAATTAGGCGCAACTCTGGCCAACGGCATTGAATCTGATCGATCGATGTAAAGAAACATGCCAAGTGGGAAACTAAACATTATTCACAGATGACTTAAAGAGAAACCAGACATGCACATTTAAAGTTGCGAACTTTTTTCAGGAGTCCCAGCAACATGTCGGTTGAATGGAACTTTCACGAGCTTCATCTATCATAATGACAGTATTAAAACAGAAAAACATGGATTGGTATGTGAATAACGTAAAACCAGTATGGAAACATCCAACTGAAATTTTTGTTTTTACTCCACTATGATTATCACAACAAATGTGTAATCACAATAACGACATAAATTTAATCAAACATGACATGTCACAATTTGTTTGTACTGCCAGCTTTAGCGACTTTAGATGGTTATACAAAATAGAGCATAGGTGGATCTTGATAGCATGGGAAACATTAAGGCAACTCTAATAACAAATACATAAATTAACTTCAGTACAAACACGATGATTTTGGATATAAGTACTCAACCACAAATTCACTTGCCAAACTATGAAATCATATGTGTAACAATAGTATACAGCGATGAAAATATTGCCCCAGTTTCACCGACACAGTGCCGCATCAGTTAGCCAGCTGGTCCGGCCAGACATGCATGCAGACCAGAAATAACAGCAGTCTAATAATCTTACAGCATCATCTCTTGACCGCCACACCTTGTTCTAACCAACCTAAGCATGTTTGATGCATGCTTACCAAGACAGAAACATGCCAATAGAAGAGACCCCACATTGTTTTACCTGTAGCCTTACAAGACATGCCAATAAAACTTGCCGAACTTCAGATGAGCCAAACAAAAAAAAACTACCACATCTCCCTATTTTTCAACATTGTACCCCATGGCCATCCCTACGCTCTCGATTCCAAGGCAAAGTTACTCTTCTTCCTAGGACCCTAAAAGAACATGCACTGTAAGCTTGCCCTTTGCATCTCGAATCAAAATATACGTATGCAAAAATAAGGATGCCGACTTACAAAATAATTACTTTGCACTGAATTTAGCATTAACTTATGTGCCATATCGTTGGACAAAAAATAGTAGTGCATGCAGTACTTCTGTAAAGCAAGTTCAGTCCAGTTCCTTAGCAAAATGGTGCATTCTAAGTACTTCTGTCATTCTGTGTACTTGTTTAACAGTTGAGTCTACAGTTTATGTAAAGGATAGCCAGACCATACTGAGATTGCTCTCGGATGGAGGATGTGAGGAGCCAAGAAATGCCTATTCTTGCAAAATTCATGATCTGGCATGATAGGTAATGCACTTACCATCAGGATGCCCAACGCCATGAGATCACTTTCAGTCATGTGACATATGGCCGCCATGTCAACCTGCAACACAACAATTGTCAACCAAAGAAGAAGAAAACAATGCAAAGATTTAGTTAAATAGTCAAACCTCCTTTGACTGGAAGGTAATAGAATACTTCTCAAGTCCCAAGTGATTTCAGAAAACTGTCGAGTGGAGTTTCAGCCTATAAGCGTTCCCATAAGAATAGATGTTAGAACAGGAAGCAAATCAAGCCAGAAAGTATATTTAAAGTCTCCAACTATGCAAGCTCACTATTTAAAATTGGTGGCTTCCGCGATTGGAGTCGAGCGTGGTTAGACATTTGGGGCGCCTAGTGCCTGGTCCAAGTCTGACCAGGACTTCTCGGGAACTCCCAAGGCCTGGTGATTATTGATGAGGATCAAGAGTTAGAAATATATCCATCACTAAAATAGCCAAACGGTTTCCTCCCATGAAGTAGTAGCTCATTGAGAATTTGTTTAAAAATTATGTAAAGCAAACTCTATATAATACTGTCAATTAAAGACCTGCACACCAGTAGGGAGATAGACAAGCAAAAGAAGCTTACAAGAGAAAATAACACTTGCCTCTGGTCTTTCCATATTTAGCCATGCTTTAGAACTGGTAAATAAGTGTTGCATCCCATTATCTTACCAATTGCAACAACATTAAATATCTGCAAAAGCACCAAAGACTGAAATTAACAGATGGGTCTACGTTACTGAAACTCAATATCATCTTGGGAAAATAATTACCAGTGCCCGCTGCTCAAGCAATTGGCATGATATAATTAGGCAAGCACATAAATACATACTCCATTGGAATGTTAAACTTAAGAAGAATCTATTTTTCGGTTAAATAAACAACAACAATCATGGCAAAAGATGCTATCAAGAGGAATTATCTTAAATAATATTTAGCAATCACAGAAAGGAGAGGAAGGGTGAGACAAACGAAAGTGCATGCATACAACTATCCATTGATGGTCCAAGAAGAGAAGCTCTAACAGTAAGGCATTGGAAGAAAGTGGAACGGAAAATCAGGAAGAAAGAAGTGCATGTGTACATGTACATGTGTCGTGCTTCTCTTGTTGATGCCTTCTTGTTCGTTGGGTCGACGGATGGTGACGCTGGAGCAGGACAGAGCTGGTTGTCTCTGCGGCCCATGCTGCTTATGCCGAGGGAGACCTACACTTTCAGACTCACAACGAGATCATCTTCAAGCACATCACCAGCACTCCCTGAATTTCCATCGAGCGAAACGTGATGAGAACTAAGTACTGCCACAACACAATCATAGCTAAAAATAGAGAGCTGTGGAACAATATGTAATGTGTATTAATTTTATCACGGGTAGCAGACAAGCAAAGAGTGGTTGTACCTGAGTTCTAAACTGGCAACCTGCACATGCGTGTTTCTCTAAATTTATTCTGAATACAAAAACAACTTTAGATTTTGCTACATCTGTATGCATCATCTCTAAAATAGAAACAGAGTTACCTGTATGTGTTGGTTAGTGAAGAAGAAAGCTCACTCCGTGTCAAGGTGGTGCCTTGCGGCAACGGGGGATCTGGAGTGCGACCTGTTCATAGGCGTTTAAAACTGCAGAGAACCATGACAGGAAACAAGAAACGCACTACCTAGCAGGCATGGGGGCGCACCTCGACGATCTCCATGGCGTCCCGAGAAGAAGCTCCTCCTCGAGCACCTCTGTCGCGGATCTATGGAGAAGAGGGGATCCTGGACGAGCTCCTCTCCCGGCGGCAAGATGAGGATCTGCGACGACGTCCTGGTCAACGCCATCACCTCGCCTCCAACTTGCGCAGGTCGCGCCTGCCCAGATTTCGCACCACCGCCCACCGGTTCTCCAGATCACGCTCGGCCACCGCGCTGTCTTGGCTCGGCTCTGCCCATGATGGCCGCCATGTCCGCGTCGCCGTTGGCCGCTGCTGCTCCTCCACTGCGGGCCGCCGCAGCTCTCTGCCTGTCGTTGCTGCCATGAGGCCGTCACCGCCGCTCCTTCGGCAGCCGCATCCAGTCGTTGCTGTGGAGCCTGGGGCAGGAGGAGGAGAGGGCATGAGCGCAAGGGAGGGCGGCGGCGGTAACCCTAGCCGGGTGCGAGGGGAGAAGCACTCGTTTTTGTTTTCTTTTTGTATGTCTTTGTTCGTTCGGTAAAACCTGGCGCAGTAAAAATAGACAGGTGAACACCGCGAGGAGTCGCCCTTACCGCGACGCTTATTGTGTTTGATGTGTCCATGCATCCAAATTTGTTATAAAATGAAATAAAACTTCTGTTAAAAGGATAGACCCAAGTCCACGGGATACAGAATGGTATACAATCATTTATCTTGGACCGAAAATCAAACAAGACCTTACTCCCTCCTTCCCTCTGTTTGAACAACCTTCATCGTAATTGCATGTACTCCAGGCTGGTAAAGAAATATCAAATGTATTTATTTTGGTTGTGGTGTATCAATTATCACTATTTCCATTTTGAATTTCTGTTCCTCTGGCTTATTTGTGGCAAACCTTGGAGCAGCCTACGACTGTTCATCATATTGCCCAACTCAGTTATGGTGAATATTTGTTTATTTGATAAAGTTAGGGAACACTGTTTTGATTTGGGTTTTCTGTTCACATCACTTATTTGAGGCAGTGTGTTTTGCTGCCTAGGTGACTTTTTTTGAATTCAAATGTTAAAGCTGAAACATCTTCTCGACTGTGCTAAACTTCTAATCACACCAGAACTGTTGGTTGCAATAATTTGGTATATAACTTACATCATTTTCTTTTGTATTATTCAGTCTGATTATTTGCGGAAGATTTCTCTGAAAATGCTCTCTATGGAGACGAAGACACAACAGGCTCCTGGAAATGTTCAAGTGATACCAAATCAAAACAACTCTGGTAAGGTACCATATATATAGTAAATAGAGGTTGCATATTTTATTGTTCACTTGAATGTCAATATTTTTATTGCATCATGTGCTGAGATTATGTGCTTTATTACATAAAATCACCCTCCACCCTTCAGCATAATGTACAAGAATTTTGCATCTAGCTTGTGTCATGTGTACGTAGTTATTGAACCCGGAGCGATACGGTAAGTGCCTCAATTCAGTGGTCAGACCTCCGGTTCCGCGGTCCAACCTGTTGGTTCAATAAATATTATTGCACGGTTTTTTCTGCTAGATAACAAACAAACAGCCTAGTTAGTTATTCGATTGGGGCAGTCCCCCTTTCTACCTTAAAGATGGTCTGATTCTTTGCACATACATAATATTTTGTTGACCCCTGATCCAGCGCTCGATTGGGTTGTTCAACCGGGTTTTCGCCGGTTCACAGCAGGCTGATTGGATGAACAGCCTTCACTGTGAACTGGATTGGAACACGGCTTGGTTCTGGTATATTCTTGCCAGACCAGTGGTCTGGTCGTTTTTAATAAGGATGCATGTGTCAGCATGAGTATTGAAAAAGATCCATTTTTTAAGTTGAGCTATTGCAAAAGTTCCCTTTCAATCTTGAACTCGGAAACTGGTTGTTTTTAACCATGAACTACCAAATCAGTTTTCTTTACCCCCTTAGCCCTAATCATGGTGGTTTTATGCTGATGTGGCATCAACTTATACACCTTAGCAGCAATTTAAGAAATAGAATATTAAAAGTTTGAGAACATCAGAAAAAAAAACCATAACCAGTGTTCTTCTAAAAAAAAGGATATTCAGGTTGGCTATTTGGAAAAACGTTTTCTTTAACTAGGGGACTCGAAGAACAGTTTTTCACACTGGCTAGCAACAAGTCATCAGTTGACTATTGAACCCTTCTCAATTTTCAAAATAATTAAGATTTTACCAAAGAAAATTATTTTTAATTTCCTTTTTCTTTTATATTCTAAGCATAACCTTTAGTTAAGTTGCTGAGGTATATTGTGATGCCAATGGCATATGTCTACAATGTGCCTTCTGAGTCAGCAGAAACCACTTGTGATAGGACAAAAGGGGTAAAATGAATGGATTGAACAGTTCAAGGTTAAAAACAACTGATTTCAGAGTTAAGATTAGAAAGTGAACTTCTGCAACCGTTCAGAATTAAAAAGTGGGTTTCTTCCAGGAAGTTGATTAATGTTGTGAAACCACACCAGTGGTGGAGCTAGCGACAGATAACTGAGGGGGCAAATGACGAAATATAATTTTCTAAAGGGACCATAAACTATATTTCTCTCAATTTGTGACACCCAAATACTGAAATA